GCCGGCTTGGAAGGTCGCCAATGGCGATCAGGTGACCCCCGTCGTAAATACGCGCCCGTGGCCTGAATTTTCGACCATGTTAACACGGGGAAGCTACAACGGTCGTAACTGTGAGGACTGGTTAAGCCATTCCCCCCCCCTGTTGCTGTTGTAACTGTGAACATTCCCTAAATCAGGAGTAGGCCACCTTGGCTCTTTTATGACTCGTGGACTTCAACTCCCAGAATTCCTGAGCCAGCCATGCTGAGGGGAAAGGGAGAGGTTTCCAAGCTGAGCCATGCTGGCTCAGGAATTCTGGGAGTTGAAGTCCAGCAGTCATCGAGGGAGCCATAGTTCCCCCATGCTGGCTCAGGAATTCTGGGAGTTGAAGTCCACGAGTCATAAAAGAGCCAAGTTTGAAGACCCCTCAGTTAGAGGAACATATGAAAGCATAATTAATGTTAATTAATGTAGACTTTATTAGTTTAGAGCAGGGGTAGGCCACCTTGGCTCTTTTATGACTCGTGGACTTCAACTCCCAGAATTCCTGAGCCAGCACAGCTCAGCTTGGAAACCTCTCCCTTTCCCCTCAACATGGCTGGCTCAGGAATTCTGGGAGTTGAAGTCCACGAGTCATAAAAGAGCCAAGGTTGCCTACCCCTGCCCTAAACGAATGGCTTTAACTCGAGGATCACCTGTGCTGAGCCCTGAAGCAGTGGCTGATGGGTCCAGGGCTCTGTTAGGGGGGACACCAGGTTGGATAAGCCGAGCTTTAAAAGAATATGGGGGGTTTACCTCGAGGCAGCGCATCATGGCCAGTGTGGGGGGCAAGGCAGAGAGAAGATTGTCAGAGAGATTCAGGTGTGTGACCAACAACAGGTGTTCCAGGTGGCAGAGGCTGGTCAGGCTCTGAGGAAAGCAAAAACACACACAACAACAACAAAAATTGTGGTCTGTTATTTTAACCGTTCAGTTTGCCACTTTGATAGGCAAGTCCTCTCCACGGTATCTGGTCCAGCACAGCTCCTTTCCGTTGTCGCGCACAGTTCATTTAGCGACCGTTCAGAGTTACGACGGCACCGAACCGACAAGCAATTAGCAAGAGGACGGCGTAAGCGATACCTCCCCTCAATCAGCCCTCCATCNCAGTGGTCCTAAGCGGGAAAAAATGGTCATAAATCCCTTTTTTTTTCAACACTGTTGTGACTTTGAACCGTCGGTATACAAACTGCTAAGCTGAGGGCTGCCTGTAAAAATGATGCTTTCTGACGCTTGGCGAGTGGTCCGTATTTACGACGGTCGCAGCGTCGCCGCCGGGTGGCGGGGTCCCCCTTTGCGACCTGCCACCACGCCACGGTGGGACTCACTTATCAATGGCAGCGATTCAAGAAAGCAAGAAAGGACGTTAAGACGGAGCAGGATTCGCCTCACAGCCGTCTTGCTTAGCGACGGAGGTTTGGGGTTGAACTGGTCGTAAGTGGAGGACTGCCTCTAAAGAACAGGCGCATAGCTTTCTTTCAAGAGCCCCCTCAAAGGAGACATTCGGTCCATGAGGTAATCGGCGTGTCGGCCTTGAAATCCAGGCACTTTTGATAAGAGGGTGCAGGATAAACAGTCAGTTCGTGTCAGAAAGGATTCTGTCTGCTTCTGACACAACCCAGGACGCTGCGCAACAGCTTCCTAGCACACACAACACACCCTTGTGCGCAGGAGATGTGGCAAAAGACGGGGACGTCAGCCCCAGCGCAAGCAAACCTCTGAATCACAACTTCCACCCAGAAATGAAGCAAGGCAGTAATAATAATAAAAAAAAACAGGGTTTCCGCTCAGAGGCGGCGGTTTGGAGGAGAAATGAACACAAATGGGTGCTCAAAGCAGATTTTCTGAAGTGTGTATTTGACTGGATGCAAAATAATAGAATAACTGAGTTGGAAGGGGCCTTGGAGGTCTTCTAGTCCAACCCCCTGCTCAGGCAGGAAACCCTAGACCATTTCGGACAAATGACAGTCCAGACTCTTCTTCAAAACCTCCAGTGATGGAGCATTCACAACTTCTGGAGGCAGGTGGTTCCACTGGTTAATTGTTCTCACTGTCAGGAAGTTTTTCCTTAGTTCCAGGTTGCTTCTCTCTTTGGTTAGTTTCCATCCGTTGCTTCTTGTCCTGCCTTCGGGTGCTTTGGAGAACAAGTTGACCCCCCTCTTCCTTGTGGCAGCCCTTCAAATATTGGAAGACTCCTATCATGTCACCGCTGGTCCTTCTCTTTGTTAGACTAATAAAATAACAGAGCTGGAAGGGACCTTGGAGGTCTTCTAGTCCAACCCCATCAAGCAGGCAAGCCCTTCCACTGATTGTCCTCACTGTCAGGAAGTTTCTCCTTCATTCCAGGTTGCTTCTCTCCTTGATTAGTTTTCATCCGTTGTTTCTTGTCTTGCCTTCTGGTGCTTTGGAGAATAGCTTGACTCCTTCTTCTTTGGGGCAGCCCCTGAGATACTGGAAGGCTGCTATCCTGTCCCCCCTCGTCCTTCTCTTCGTTAAACTAGACATGCCCAATTCCAGCAACCGTTCCTTATATGTTTTAGCCTCCAGTCCCCTGATCCTTTGTTGCTCTTCTCTGTACTCTTTCCAGAGTCTCAACATCTTTTTTACATCGTGGTGACCAAAACTGGACGCCGTATTCCAAGTGTGGCCTTACCAAGGCCTTGTAAAGTGGTATTAATGCTTCACGTGCATGACTTGGGTGCAAAGGTGTGCAGCAGGTTAGGCTTGCAGCTAGGAAATGGATTTTTAGAACAGGCATATTCAACCTTGGCCACTTTAAGACTGGTGGACTTCAACTCCCAGAATTCCCCAGCCACCATGTTCAAACCTTGGCCACTTTAAGACAGTCTTAAAAGTTGCCAAGGTTGGACACCCCTGATTTACAACAAGAAAAAGGAAAATAAAAACCCGCTTGAGAAAGCTGGCGGTTTCGTGACTTCTGGCTATTAATTGTGCAGTGGGATTGAGAGGCGCTCCCATTTTTCCCTCGCAGGCCCACACACGCTTCCCCCAAATTAACCTCCCGCTTTGCGAGACGAACCGATTCCTTTGTACCCATGCGTGTGTGTACATGTGCCCGCCACTAAGAGGCCCGGAATAATCCGTAACAATTCACCTTTTAGATGGAAGGGAAACCCCCCCCCACTACGTGTATGTACAGATAGGTACGTACAGGTAGACGTACGCCTTGAATGGAGCCTGCTCTTTACGGATTTACGTTGCGACGGTCGTAGAGAAGGGAAGGGCTGGTAATTGTAACTGCGGAAGTGGGTTGTAAGTCCCCCTGGGAAGGCATGTCGTATGTTTGAAGCATCGCTAAGGGGCGAGTCGAAAATCGAGGACTACCTGCAAGCAACCTAAGAAGTCTATTTTCATTGTGCAATTGTGTATGTGACGGATGCAATAGGAAAGCAGCTTCTCACATTCCCCGTTAAACTGACTGCCAAGGGTGGAAACTCGGGGTGTTCGGATTCGGCCCCCCCCAAATTAAAAGAGTGCCAGCTGGGAAGAATGCTGCTTTAATCCACCAGTGTACGAATTGGGGCCGGGTCTTGCTTAACGACGTGGCGAATCCGTGCTGTGAAAATTTTTTTTTTTAAAAAAATCTCCTTTGTGGATGCTGGGCTAGAGCTGAATCCGTGCCTGGATCAGCGTGCGGGTCGTCCACGGCTTACGAGCACAATGGAGGCCCGAAATGTCTGTTCCTAAGCAAGATGCTGGTTAAGTGGATTTCACCTCACCTTACGACGTTTCTTGCCGCTGTTGTTAAATGGGTCGCTGCAGGTGTTAAGTTAGGAACAGGGTTGTTAAGGGAATCTGACATCCCCATTGGTTTTGCTTGCCAGGTTGCCAAAGGGGATCACGTGATCCCCGCAGACACTGCGACCGTCATAAATATGAGTCAGTTGTCAAGTGCTTTAAGACGGTGAGTTCTAGTCCCTCCTTAGGCATGAAAGCCAACTGGATGCTTTTTGACCAATCGCTAGGAGGCGATGAGTTCTAGTCCAGCCTTAGGCATGAAAGCCAACTGGGTGGCTTTGGGCCAATCACCAGGAGACGGTGAGTTCTAGTCCTGCCTTAGCCATGAAAAACAACTGGGTGCCTTTTGGCCAATCAGAAGGAAGCGATGAGTTCTAGTCCAGCCTTAGGCATGAAAGCCAACTGGGTGGCTTTGGGCCAATCACCAGGAGACGGTGAGTTCTAATCCCGCCTTAACCACGAAAGCCGGCTGGGTGACTTTGGTCCAGTCCATCTCTCTCAACCCAGCCCACCTCATAGGGTTGTTGTTGCTGTTCTGGGGAACATAGGAGGAGAAATGTGTTCTGGAATTATCCGTTGCCTTAATAAAATATTAAAAAAATAAGACGGGATACCAACCAAAAAATAAAAATAAAATAAAATATAAAATAATAAAAGAAAATAAAAATAATAAAAGAAAATTAAAAGAAAATAATAAAATAAAAATAAAATAAAAATAATAAAAAATAAAATAAAATATAAAATAAAATATAATAAAATAAAATAAATAAAATTAAAGTAATAAAAGAAAATATAAAATAATAAAATAAAATAAAGAAAAATAATCTATATAAATAAAAATGTAAATGTTCGTTTGTTCAAAATCTTAAATCTCCGAAAAGTTCTTTACCGATTGCTTTGAAATTTTGACACAACGTTGCATTCGAATACGCGCGTGTTTTTATATACCTACTATTATATAGATGTCACACCTGTGACACAAACGTGCGCTTTCTCTTTTCTTTCTTTTCCATTTAACCAGACTGAGCCACAGCAACGCGTGGCTGGGTACAGCTAGCAATAAAATAAAATATAAAAGAAAAGAAATAAAAGAAAAATAATAAAATAAAATATAAAATTAAATTAAAATAAAATATAAAATAATAAAATAAAATAAAATAATAAAATAAAAATTAAAATAAAACAAAACAAAACTCACAGCACAAAGCCTCTGATTGGGATGCTTTTAATTTTCAATAAATTAAGGGTCTCGGGCGCTGCTGTCTGCCCCCCCCACGGGGGAAATCAGGCGAGGAGGATGGTGGTCACCTTGGGGAGCAGCCTGGCCAGCTCCGACCGGACCCCGGGGGTCTCGCACAGGGGGTTTCCCTGCAGGTTGAGCTGAGCCAAGGCGGGGAAGGCGGCCAGACTCCGGAGGGCCGAGGCTCGCTGGATGCCTGACGGACGCAAAACGAGTCAAGGAGGGCTCTGCTCAAAGATACCCCAACCCACCGCCCGTCAATTTCTACCCCCCCCCCCCGTTCAGGAGCGGCCTTGGCCCGCCCGCCAGGATACGGTTGTTGCGGAGAGAGAGTTCCTCCAGACAAGGCAGAGGGGGCAGCCCTTCCAGGCTCTCGATCTGGTTGTCGTCGGCCTCCATCACCTGGGGGGACGGGTGGGAGAAAGCAGAGAATCAAGAGACCCAGGTGGTCCTCGACTTACGACGGTTCGTGGTTATGCCGCTGGAAAAAGCGACTCGCGGCCGGTTTTCACGCTTACGATCGTTGTGGCCTCCCTGTGATCACGTGATCAAAATGAAGAGGCCTGGAAACTGGCCAGTACTTATGACGGTTGCAGTATTCCGGGGTCACGGGATCCCCTTTGGCGACCTTCCGACATAAGTCGGGGACTTACCTGTACAGCTCACAGGTAGTCCTCACCTTAGGACCGCCCCAGGGACTAGAATTTCCATTGCTAAGCAAGGGGGGGGGTTTGTTCAACGAATCGCGCCCAAATTGATGACTTTCCCCCCATTGTTAAGTGAATTGTGCAGTCGTTAAACGAACCCGGCTTCCCCCAATTGACTTTGCTTGATCGGAAGCCGGCTTGGAAGGTCGCCAATGGCGATCAGGTGACCCCTGTCGTAAATACGCGCCCGTGGCCTGAATTTTCGACCACGTTAACACGGGGAAGCTACAACGGTCGTAACTGTGAGGACTGGTTAAGTCATTCCCTCCCCCCATTGCTGTCGTAACTGTGAACATTCCCTAAATCAGGGGTAGGCAACCTTGGCTCTTTTATGACTCGTGGACTTCAACTCCCAGAATTCCTGAGCCAGCCATGCTGAGGGGAAAGGGAGAGGTTTCCAAGCTGAGCCATGCTGGCTCAGGAATTCTGGGAGTTGAAGTCCACCAGTCATAAAAGAGCCAAGTTTGAAGACCCCTCAGTTAGAGGAACATATGAAAGCATAATTAATGTTAATTAATGTAGACTTTATTAGTTTAGAGCAGGGGTAGGCCACCTTGGCTCTTTTATAACTCGTGGACTTCAACTCCCAGAATTCCTGAGCCAGCATGGCTCAGCTTGGAAACCTCTCCCTTTCCCCTCAGCGTGGCTGGCTCAGGAATTCTGGGAGTTGAAGTCCACGAGTCATGAAGGGGCCAAAGTTCCCCCATGCAGGCTCAGGAATTCTGGGAGTTGAAGTCCACAAGTCATAAAAGACCCAAGTTTGAAGACCCCTCAGTTAGAGGAACATATGAAAGCATAATTAATGTTAATTAATGTAGACTTTATTAGTTTAGAGCAGGAGTAGGCAACCTTGGCTCTTTTATGACATGTGGACTTCAACTCCCAGAATTCCTGAGCCAGCACAGCTCAGCTTGGAAACCTCTCCCTTTCCCCTCAACATGGCTGGCTCAGGAATTCTGGGAGTTGAAGTCCACGAGTCATAAAAGAGCCAAGTTTGAAGACCCCTCAGTTAGAGGAACATATGAAAGCATAATTAATGTTAATTATTGTAGACTTTATTAGTTTAGAGCAGGGGTAGGCCACCTTGGCTCCTTTATGACTCGTGAACTTCAACTCCCAGAATTCCTGAGCCAGCATGGCTCAGCTTGGAAACCTCTCCCTTTCCCCTCAGCGTGGCTGGCTCAGGAATTCTGGGAGTTGAAGTCCACCAGTCATAAAAGAGCCAAGGTTGCCTACCCCTGCCCTAGACAAATGGCTTTAACTCGAGGATCACCTGTGCTGAGCCCTGAAGCAGTGGCTGATGGGTCCAGGGCTCTGTTAGGGGGGACACCAGGTTGGATAAGCCGAGCTTTAAAAGAATATGGGGGGTTTACCTCGAGGCAGCGCATCATGGCCAGCGTGGGGGGCAAGGCAGAGAGAAGATTGTCGGAGAGATTCAGGTGTGTGACCAACAACAGGTGTTCCAGGTGGCAGAGACTGGTCAGGCTCTGAGGAAAGCAAAAACACACACAACAACAACAACAAAATAACACCAGACAATAAAATTGGCAAGTCAAACGGTGAAACTATCCGTTCAGGAGAGGTGCCATAGACCAGGTCGTGTCGAGGAAAGGCAACAGCGCGTGTCAAGTAAATCGCTGGCAAGTCTCAATGCTGCCGTGGCTTGGCTGTTCGTTAATCGTTCTCCTGCCGCATTCGCTATGGAGGGGAGTTAGTCGGGAGGTAGTGTCCTTCCATCTGATTCTCACAAAGCCCCCCCCCTCAAAAGCAGCCCCCAAATTGCCTTTCCACAACGCAGAACTTAAATCTGGATTTAAGTTCTGCGGTTTTTCTGGGGAGAAAAAAATTGGGACTTTTTTTTTCATTATTAGCCCAGACCCACCGCATTTGCCAACAACTTTTAAAAGAGGGAAGTTGGCCCATCTCATTTCTTATTTTAGCTTATTGACCAATTTCCTGGAAAGCCGCAAAAGGAGGAAGAGCAGGGCAAGAGGCAACGGATGGAAATTAACCAAAGAGAGAAGCAACCTAGAACTAAAGAGAAATTTCCTGGCAGTTAGAACAATTAACCAGTGGAACAACCTGCCTCCAGAAGCGGTGAATGCTCCAACACTGGAAGTTTTTAAGAAGAGACTGGACAGCCATTTGTCTGAAATGGTGTAGGGTTTCCTGCCTGAGCAGGGGGTTGGACTAGATGACCTCCAAGGTTGTTCCACTGGTTAATTGTTCTAACTGTCAGGAAGTTTCTCCTGAGTTCTAGGTTGCTTCTCTCCTTAATTAGTTTCCATCTGTTGCTTCTTGTCCTGCCTCCAGGAGCTTTGGAAAATAGCTTGACTCCCTCTTCTTTGGGGCAGCCCCTGAGATACTGGAACGTGGCTATCATGTCCCCCCTCGTCCTTCTCTTCATTAAACTAGACATACCCAATTCCAGCAACCGTTCCTTATATGCTTTAGCCTCCAGTCCCCTGATCATCTTTGTTGCTCTTCTCTGTACTCTTTCTAGAGTCTCAGCATCCTTTTTACATTGTGGTGACCAAAACTGGATGCCGTATTCCAAGTGTGGCCTTACCAAGGCCTTGTAAAGTGGTATTAATACTTCACCTGATCTTGATTCTGACCCTCTGTTAATGCAGCCCAGCACTGTGTTGGCCTTTTTGGCAGCTGCAGCACACGGCTGGCTCCTATTTAAGTGATTGTCCACTAGGACTCCGAGATCCCTCTCACAGTTACTACTATTGAGCAAGGTACCCCCTATACTATACCTGTACATTTGGTTTTTCTTGTCTAAGTGTAGAACCTGGCTTTTTTCACCCTTGAATTTCATTTTGTTAGATAGGGCCCTGGGTTCAAGTCTGTCCAGATCCTCCTGTATCTTAAGCCTGTAACTTCTGGAGTGTTGGCTATTCCTGCCAGCTTGGTGTCGTCTGCAAATTGGATGAGTTCCCCATCTATCCCCTCGTCCAAATCGTTGATGAAGATGTTGAAGGGCACTGGGCCCAGAACAGAGACCTGGGGCATCCCACTACACACTTCCCTCCCTGTAGATGCGGTTCCATTGAGGACTTCTCGTCAACTACCTTTTGGGAGAGGTCCACCACGCGCGAATCGGCGTACTCCATCTTGAGGACACTGTTCTCAATGAGAAACTTGCTCCGTAGGTCATTGAGGTATGAGGAGCGCATGGGGTCTGCGGCCTGTGGGAGGAGAACCAGAGGTTAGCATGGGAGCATCGCCAGGGTAGCAGTAACGAAAGAGACAAGACAACCTATCCAGGTGGATCGTTTTTGTGTAAAGCCACCGCAGTGTTTCTCATACTTGGCCACTTGAAGAGGGGTGGACTTCAACTCCCAGAATTCCCCAGCCATTGTGCTTTAAAATGGGTGGACTTCAACTCCCAGAATTCCCCAGCCAGCATGCTTTAAAATGGGTGGACTTCAACTCCCAGAATTCCCCAGCCAGCATGCTTTAAAATGGGTGGACTTCAACTCCCAGAATTCCCTAGCCAGCTTGATTTAAGAGGGGTGGACTTCAACTCCCAGAATTCCTAAGCCAGACTGATTAGATTAGATTAGATAACCTTTATTGTCATTTTTTTTTCTGTGGGCACAACAGCACACATTAAAAATGAAATTTAGTTGCTTGCTTTCAAAGTGTATACATATATAAGCCACGTTTAAAACATACTATATACAACATATGTACAGACCTACACCCTTACATATAAGTAACACTTAAATATTATTCACTGTCCCTCTTGAATACGTAACGGAAGGAGGAAGCTTTAGAATTCACAAGGTTAATACTGTATCCTGCTTTAAAATGGGGGGAGGGACTTCAAGTCCCAGAATTCCCTAGCCAGCTTGATTTAAGAGGGGTGGACTTCAATTCCCAGAATTCCTCAGCCAGCAGGCTTTAAAATGGGTGGACTTCAACTCCCAGAATTCCTCAGCCAGCAGGCTTTAAAATGGGTGGACTTCAATTCCCAGAATTCCCCAGCCAGCATAGTTTAAAATGGGTGGACTTCAATTCCCAGAATTCCCCAGCCAGCATAGTTTAAAATGGGGAGACCTTCAACTCCCACAATTCCACGGACAACTTTTTCTTCACTTTGCTGAAGTCAAGATATATTACGTGGACTGCATTCCCACCATCTATTAAGAAAAAAAAAAAGTGACAAAGGCGGTCTAGCCACACGTGTTCTTTATCTCTATTGAATTCTGGTAAAATCTTCGCTGGCTGGGGAATTCTGGGGGTTGACGTCCACCCCTCTTAAAGTGGCCAAGGATGAAAAACACATACGGTCACAGAATCTTGCCAAGAAATCCTGAGATGTTTTCTCCAATTAATTGGTAAGCCAGGGAGCTTTTTGTTAACTTCCCTCTATTGGATGTATGAGTGAGAAGACGGAAAGGGGGCTGAAGGAAGTGAGAGAGCTCTGCACGTGCTCAGGGGTGCTGTTTTGTCCCCAGAAGGCATCCCACCGAGACGGGGTGGGGAGTGGGTGGCTTTTTCCAACCTGACCTTCTTGGGGTCTATCGGAAGGGCAGTGACCCGAATCCCCAGTTGTTGTGGGAAGATGTTGCATGCTACATGCGCAAGGGCAGCTTCCGAACAAAGTGCGATTTGACACCAGCCTTCGGGGTGTCTCTCCCGGGCTGACCTTCAAGGCAGCGAAGTAGCGGAGGGTGTCCTGCTCATACACCAAGGGGTCCAAAGCCCTCATGAGGAGGATGATGGTCAGGAGACACCCTAAGTAGGAAAAAAAAAGGAGAGATTCAGGTTGAATCAAGCGATCCCCCGACCTCAAATCAGTGCTGCCCGTTCATTTCGCACGAGCTTCCTTTATTCCGCATATTTTTCTGGATGAAAGAGAGCTGCGGGGAAGCGCAAAAGAATCTCGCTCTACAGATGGTTAGTACAGTCTTAAGGCCTAGTCACTTAGCAAAAACATTTGACGCTACTGCTGAGGTCTCTTCTCAGGATCCACCCGCCTCGTGTGGGAGCGAAGTAGCTCTTATCAACCTACACTTGTTCTCCGGCTCCAAGGCCTGCAGTTCCTTGCAGGATTCCAGCTCAGATTGCAGCACGGTTGACTTCTCCACGGACAATTCGCACCTGGGGCGGGAGAAGGAGGCAGGAGGTCAGGAAGGGAGTAGCCCTTAGGGAAAACTCAGCCACAGCGTGAAAAGGGAGGGAAAGCAAGTGCCAGGTGCCTGGTAACAGGGAAGGAAGGAAAAAAGGGAGAGAAAAGGGAGGGAGGGAGGAAGGAAAAGGGAGGGAAGGAGGGAAGGAAGATGGGAGAGAAGGAAGGAAGATGGGGAGGGTGAGAGAAGGAAGAAAAGAGATGGGAATGAGAGGAAGGAAGGATGGGAGGGAAGGAAGGAAGATGGGAAGAAAGAGAGGGAGGGAGGGAGAAGGGAGGAGATGGGAGGGAGGGAGGGAGGGAGGGAGGG